AGTTTTTAGTGCAAACGGACCATGTTTCACTCAAATGGCTTATGTCCTTCAAGGATTTGGAAGATCAACTGGCACGTTGGATGGAAAGACTTCAACAATACGATTTTGAGGTAACTCATCGTAAAGGTCTCTCTCATAAAAATGCAGATCGTCTGTCGAGGCGTCCTTGTGCCGAAGACTTTTGCCGATATTGTACAAATGTGGAGTTGAAGGATATTTCCAAGCAAGAAAAATTAGTTGGAAGAATAATTCTGGAAGAAAGAAATTCCGTGGATTGGCATGAGGAACAGTTGGAGGATCCTTTTGTTTCCTTGTTTTTATCTAGAAAAGAAGCAAATGAGGAACGTGGCAGGAAGGATTCCTCTGTGGCAGGAAGTAGCGGCGAAGGCGAAGGATATTTCCACCAAAGTCTATTGGTCTTATTGGGACGCTTTAATCGTAAAGGATGGCGTTCTTTTCAAGAAATGGCAAGCCCCGAATTTAAAAAAAGAAATTTTTCAACTAATAATACCCAAAAGTCGAGTCAAACAAATTCTGGAGGAGGGACATAATTCCCCTACGGGAGGGCATTTCGGTATCAATAGAAACGTTTTCGTAATTTGTCCAACGTTTTATTGATACCGAAAGAAAAGGTCCTCCCGGGAAAGGAAAGTCTCCTTTGCAGGTTTATAACGTTGGGGCGCCTTTCGAAAGAGTCCAGATGGACGTTCTTGGTCCTTTACCCGTAACTTCCTCCGGAAACAAGTATTTGTTAGTTGTTGTAGATTGTTTTTCCAAATGGGTAGAGGCTATTCCTTTAAAAAATGTTACATCTAAAACTATTGCAGAAGAGTTTCTAAATCAAATTATTTCCAGGCATGGAGTTCCCCTAGAGGTTCATACTGATCAAGGGAGGAACTTTGAATCACGAGTCTTCCGTGAGTTGTCGCATGTATTAGGGATTAAAAAGACAAGGACGACCCCTCTCCACCCACAGTCGGATGGACAGGTGGAACGTCAGCATCGCACAATTTCGAATTATTTAGCGAAATTTATATCGGAAAATCAGAAAGATTGGGATAAATGGATCCCACTATATTTACTAGCATATAGGACTTCTAGACATGAGGCCACTGGAATGTCTCCAGCGGAGCTTTACCTTGCGAAGGATCTCAGATTGCCAATGGATTTGTTACGCGGTAACCCACCTGATGTTGAAAAAACAGATTTTTCATTAGAAGGTTATTCCAGTAAAGTAAAAAGGAAATTAGAGAAAATTCATGAAGACGTAAGAAGGTGATTAGATATAAAATCTTCACAAACAAAATCCTGGTATGATCAGAAAGCCAGGCGAATTCATTTCGAAGATGGGCAACAAGTTTGGTTTTACAATCCTCGAAGAGTGAGAGGGAGAGCTCCCAAGTTGCAATGTAGCTGGGAGGGCCCTTATTGCGTAGTAAAAAAACTTAGTGACGTGGTTTATTGTATCCGCAAGTAGTAGATAGACTAGGAGGATTCGAACTCGGGAGCAATGAGGGGGGGTGAGGTGCGCGGGGAAGGTACGGGGGAGGGGAGGTTGCCGCTGGCCGCCTTATCGCGCCGCCGCCGCCGCGCCGCAGGCTCCTTGCCCTGGGGCCTTATCGCGCCGCCGCCTCCGCCGCCCCTTCGCCCTAACCGCCGCGCCGGGGCCTCCCCCCTGTCGTCCCCCTCGGGATATTTCGTTACAAAAAGGCCGCCACAGCCGATGAAGTCATCGGGCGACGACAGCAAGGATTAAATAAATAAATGTTACTTACGTGCATCGGTAGTATCAGTGGTAGCTCTCCCCCGATTTACCTATCGCCACTCCGTATGCAGGTGGGCGAGGAGTAGGAGGAAATCCTCCACTTCACCCACCTGCATATGGTGCATCAGCACCTGGTCAATCGGGGGAGCCTCACCGACGACGTTCTCGTCGTCCACGACGACGTCCTCGTTGTCCACGTCGACGTAGTCGTTTACGACGCGTACTTCTCCAATGATGACGACGTCGTCGTCGTCCTCGTCGGCGTCGTCGTCGCCACCGTTCTCGTCGTCGATGACGACGACGTCCTCCATAGGAGGTGATGGAGGGGGTGTCGGAGGTAACCATGGAGGGTTCTCAATATCCATAGCTACCTCCATGGCTACCTCCATGGCAATGTCTATGGCGATGTCCATCGCCCCCTCTAATCGTGTAACGTCTTCGAAAAACTCTCTCAAAAATTGTTCGCGAGGGGGCTCGCGGTACCCCATGTTTTTTTTTGTCTTTTTTTTTAATTTCACGCGCCCACGCACACACACACACACGCACACGCACACACACCCTCACTCGCGCACACATACGGCGATCTTCCCGCGTTAGCGGCTTTCGCCACGATTGCGGAAGAACTTTGGACAAAATTACGGCGCACGCAATTACGCTCGTCAGGTCAGACGAAAGAACACTGACGACGAGATGCATCGGCGAGAAAAACGTCTCGGCCCTATCTAATGTATATATAAAAACAATTGCGGCGGCCCTATCTATTGTATATAACAAGAACTCCGGTGCCGCCGTAAGGTAGCCGACGGCCTACGTACGATTACTTTACAAATATAATCGCGCGTAGTCTAACGCCGAGATTCGTTTCGAAGGATAATTTTATTTTAATCGTGCAATATATACTTATATTTAATCGTGTAATATATATAATTGTAGTATAACGCGCGGGAGGGGAAAGAAAGGCTAGGAAGAAAGTACGCGTGTGCAGAGTATATATATTTTTTTTATTCATAATTTTGTAGTACAGTAAGTGTTATACATTATTAATTTTAATCGCGCGTTAAAAACCAAAGCGAGAAGCTCGCAATCGACGAGCTGGCGTTTGTCGAAGACGTCGCTCTCGCTTATAGCGTTCGCGACGTTGGCGAAGCGCGTGTACTTGATGTCGATGGTATCGACGAGTCGGGACAATCGCTCGAAGGTAACGTCGATGCAGCCGTCGAGATCGAACATACGGCGTAGCGTCGATTCAATCATCGTGACGTGTACGGTCGGGGATTCAAGTCGTACGAGCGTAAGATCGGTGTGCGCGTAGATCGCTACCGTGATCGGTCCGACGGTTACGAAATTGTCCTTGTGCTCGTTGCGCAGCAACTTGTAGATGTTCAGTCGCTGCTTGTAGAGTCCCTTCCACGTTTCGAGGGACATGGGCAGTTCGCGTCCTTGATGATCGCCCAGAACGATCTCCACGTAGCTCGGTGGACCGACGTTGACGCCGATCTCCAGAAACTTGTAGCCCGTTGCTGTCAGCTCGTAACGTCGACTCAGAATGCGCACCGCGCGACGCTTCGTCCTGCGTACGACGGTAATTAGTAAAGTCGAAGGAAAATAAAAGAAGAGTAAAAACTTACGATTCCTTCTGAGGGCTGCCCATCTCGGAGTAGAAGCCGAACATGATCCGTTCGTGCAGACGAGCGTAGCGAGAATGATCGGGTAAATAGCGCAAATCGAAGGGAGTGGAGGGAAGAGAGTGGGGGAGAACCTGTCGCGACAGGTCAAACGATTCCAAGAATTGTTTTTGTTCGTAAGACTCGCTGTTATCGCAAACGATTTCAAGAAATGTTTTTGTTCGTAAGACGGTAGGGGAAGGAGTGTTTATTTTATCGAGGAGGCCTCCGCGGTGGTAATGGTGGAGGAGGGGGAGGACTTCGAGGACGCACGTATTTCGACGACGTTGATGGCTCGTCCTTCGACGTAGGCAACTCCCAATAGTATCTTTGGTTTTGCGACGATGGCTTGTCCTTCGACGTAGGCAACTCCCAATAGTATCTTTGGTTATGCGACGACGGCTTGTCCTTCGACGGCTTGTCCTTCGACTCCCAATAATGGGTGTGTTTCGTCGGTTTAAAAGCGGTATCCTTCGAACCGCTGCCCCCCATTGCGCTCGGCACACTTTCGATGTGGACAGTCGGTCAATCGGTGTATGCCGTGACGCTCGTAAGATTACGAATGAACGAAAAGAGCGTTACGCACCGTCTATATACTGTCGACGCGTATATGCATACATACTACGTACATAAACAAGGGAGAGAAATAAAAAATAAATACAAAGTAAATACGTTTACGTAATTTTTATTTTAAAAAATACAAGGTAAATACGTTTACATAATTTTTATTTCAAAAAATTTCTTCGCAACCACCAGTTATACAGTTTGAATACATTTTGCATGGCGCAATTCGTAGCGTGATGTCCGCATCGCGTAGTATCAGCGGCATCCATATCGGCTAATGATAGGGTGTCCTCGTAAACCGCATCCAGGGTCTCGATGTGCACGCGTTCGTCGTCCAGAAGCAAGTCTCGCAGCCACGTTCGTTTCTCAAGTCCCTTGACGTACACCACAGCATCCTCCTCCCCGCATGCAGCACTGGTAATCAGGCGTTTCGCCTCGCTGTACGGGGTCGTCCCGTCCGTCCATTGCAATCCATGGTGACAGGCAATCAACCAGGAAGCGCAGGACCTGTCGGATCCTGTCAATGACCTCCATGGTACGGGACTCGTAAAGACGTAGTGAGCGAGCACGGTCCCGCATTTCAGCACCGCCGCTTCCTTCACGACGAATCGCCCATTGACGACGAAACCCTGCAGATCCACGAACGTCGGTGTGTGCATGTCGACTGATGCAAACGATGTTTCGTGGACGTTTATATCGCGCGCTTAGACGATCTTGCGCACAACGTTGGTCAGCGGGTTGTACTCGATCACGCGATCGTGTATGATGAGGCAGTAGGCAGCGGTATTAGCGGGAGCGTTCTCTTTGAGTTCAAAGTCCAAACGCACGTCCACGGTGCCGCTCTTGACCGATTCGTTCTGTCGAGAGCAGTCGATGATTGCTATAGGGAAACGATCCCTAAAGAAATCCGCCCTGAGTAACGTTTCACCTCTTTCGCGGAGGATCTGATAGTACGATGTACGGAAACGTACGAACATGTCGTACAAAATGGCGTTTTTGCGTTTGTCCTAATCTAGATTTAGATCATCGTACGGGAAAAAGTCGGAATTCAGATAGAGTTTCACGTTGGTTAGTTTACAATTGTCGAAGTAATTTGAATACTTTGTCATGTTGTTCTTTCTATCGGTCTGCAGAGCAAAGATGACGTATCGCGGCTTCTCGAGCTGAGTCGTAGTCTTGATAGCCCACGAGTGCTTGGTCGTGCTCGGTAACAGAGGATACTCGTACAGATCCCACGAACGGAAACTCATACTGAGATATCGTCCGTTCTCCAGGATACGCAACATGGACAGTTTATTGACTTCGTTCAACGTGACGTGGGGCATTCGCCATTGTATCTTGAACAGTTCGAGTTTCGGCTCGGCCGCTGGATCTCCCTTGACGCAATTGGTGTCATTGCGCGCTCGTATCAGAATCAGTTCGTGACGCGCGTTGATCACCACGCGTTTGTAATCCTCGCAAAAGCCAAACAGCATGTTCAACGGCACGTAAAAACTAAAGTATCCATCGCTCGATACTAGTCTTTTTACATCGTTGTCAAAAACCGGATGCGGAAATCCTGCATTCTCCATATGATACGCGTAGTCACTAGAAAACGTTGCGTAGCCCTTCAAGAGGCTAGCCATTCCGACGTTTCTGCCACGATCGATCTCAGTGCCGTTGAGTTCGTAGCGAATTTCCTCAAACATGAACGCCATGCAATTGACCCCAAGCTGCGGCTTTGGGTCCGCGTTTTCCTCTTTCGACGTGAGTCTTCCCTCGACGTAGAGCGAGCTTTCGCAGGGTAACGCGTACAGATCCTGCTGCTGTATGGGTATTCGTATCTCGTCGCTGTGTCCGAACGTCGTGTTCACGTATGGATTGTACGTGTGAGTCTCGATCTTGACGATGCGATCGTCGAAGACCGGCTTGTTCTTGACGTTCAGAATGTCGGTCATCGTTCTCTGCGCACCGCGAATCCCAGAGATTTTAAAAACTCCACGTTCGAAGCACTGAGCCTCTTCCTCTTCTTTTCGACGCGTCCGGATGAGCGAGCACTGTCGAGCTGCGCGAAGGATACGTTATCTATCCGCTGGTTCAACACGAGCATCTCACGCGCGCGCGCCCTATCGCTGTAGCCGTCTCACGTGCAATCTGACGGTGATCTCCTCCCCGCGAAAATCGATCGGCCGTCCGTTCTGATCGACGACGCGTATCGTTAGATCGGTAACGCTCCGTGCGACGATCGGAAGGTAAATGATCTGCGTCGGCCTTTCCGACACCTTATCTCCCGGTGGAACTTGCGGTGAAAATTCGTGTATCGTGTGCACGCTGTTGCCGTTGCTGTACGCGCCCGCAGTCAAGTTGCACTCCACGCGGACGATGTTCACGGTCATGATGTTGATCGATGCGTCCGACTGGTGCCATTTTCGCGGTTCCAGTACGCGCTTCGAGAATCCCAGCAGCGACCCGATGCTATTGGGTTTGTCAAAGTTTATTCGGTAGGCGCACGCGATCTCGCATCTCATCGTGTTGTAGTTTGCGCGGAGCGTTATCGGGTACTCCGCGTCGTCGTCGTCTCCGCGCACCGCGCCATCGGGCAGCGGACGTTTCCGCGAGATCGCGCGTTTCAGAAAGTCGTTTATGGCTCGCAGTTCGTACGAACCCTTGGGGATCGTAATCTCCTCGTCGTCGTTTCCAAAGTAAAATTTGTCGTTGGAATCGTTCACGTTCGGTATCGTGTTATAGGTCTCGAACATCGTCAGACCGAGCTCGTAGTCGCCGTCGCTCAGGTCTATCGCTGGAAAGTAGCAGGCCGCGAGGACGCTGCTCCTCCCGCTCAGCGTGAGCGTCAGCGACATGACGGTTCGACGAGTACTGAGATCGCACGACGTCTCGTAGGGCTTTTTAAAATTCAACGGTTCGTAGAAACCGCAGGCACATCTGTCCGCAAAAGGTCTGATCGTACGTCTGATACGACGTTCGATTGTACTCTATCGCGGTAGAAAAGCCGAAGTATCGCACGATTTCCTCGGGTGGTCGGAGATTGCCGAAACTGTCAAAGTACACGACGCGGTTCTTCCTCTTCGCGTACGCCACCCAGTGAGTACCAGGTCCCGTGGCGTCGTCCAGATTCACGATACCGCTCTCGTTGCGGCGCGCGCCGCTCGTCGGTAACGCGTTGCGCATGAAGACCCCCCTAAAGTACGGTACGCGCATACGCCGCGCGAGCCGGTCCAGTTGCACGTTGGTGGGTGCGCCCGTGGGCATTCTTATCGTTTCTTCGACGTTTTTTTTTGTTCTCCTTTCTGTCCGTGTCAGCGTTTGTACGGGGCGAGATAGAGCCCTCGGCCCTGCTCCATCGCGCGATCGTGACGTTGCAGCTCCTCGAGCTGACGTCGAGCAGCTTTGCTGTCGTTCACCGCTTTCGCCACACCGGCCGCTCCGCCGATCAGGGTGCCCAACAGTGGCAGAATCGGCAATACGCCGCCTCGTTTCGCGGTCGGAAGAATCCGTTTCCTCGCGGTACGTTTGGTAGGTTGTTTTTCCCTCTTCCTCTTCTTCATACCCATGCCGATCTTGGTCTTAGCTTTCATCGCTGCCCAGATAGCCGCAGCGGCGGCTCTCTCGCCCAGAGCCGAGTCTCTCGCGGTGACGCGTTTTCGCGCCTCCGCGGCGAGTACCTCGTCCGCCGCGTGCCTGTTGGCGAGATCGTTGCTCCGAGAGTACGCGATGTCGTGCTCGCGGCACGCCGCGTCCAGCGGATTCACTCCCGCGTCGCCTCTGGCCAATCGTTTCCTCAGTCGAGTGCCGGGGCCGCAAAACTAGTAGCCGGGGATATGCAACTCGAACGGAAGCGCGTTTATCGCCCGATTCAACAGGTTCCTCGCTGACATTCGCCGCAATTCTTTATCAACGGCGCTGGACCGTCGACGTGCGTCTGCTGACTCGGCAGGTTGTAGTGCTTCAGGCAACTCGGTACCGTTGAACCTCCGAATCGGCTCGTATGTGCTCGGGCAGTCTATAGTCCCACAACTGATCTATGTACTGCTCGCACTCTCGCAGCAGAATAACCTTAGTCCATATTCCAGCTCGGCGGAGGTCAAGCTGTGCAGACGGTCCTACGCGACGACGAACATCTCGATCACTGAGCGATTTCGCTCCGCGCGTCTCTATAAATAGGCCCGCTCGCGGTGAAGGTTTTTCAGTCGCGAGTATGCGGTTCGTGCGTCAGTCGCGCACTATCGAGGTGCCGAATCTCGACGCCAAAGTGCAGACGGAGAGGGAAACGTGCAGGAATGGAAACATGCTGCCGAGTACCGTACGCGCTATCGTCTGCGGCCCGTCGAACTGCGGCAAGACCAACGTGCTGATAAGCCTGCTCGAGAGTCCGAACGGCGTACGTTTCGAGAACGTGTACGTCTACTCGAAATCGTTGCGACAGCCAAAGTATCGCTACCTCGAAAAATTGCTGACACCTATCGACGAGATCGGCTACTTTACGTTCTCCAACAACAGCGACGTCGTTCCGCCGAACGAGGCGCTACCGAATTCCATCTTCGTCTTCGACGACGTGGCGTGCGACAAGCAGAACGCGGTGCGCGAGTACTTCGCGATGGGTCGACACGCCGACGTCGATTGCTTCTATCTCTGTCAGACGTACGCGAGGATACCCAAACATCTGATACGCGACAACGCGAATCTGCTGATTCTGTTCGAGCAGGACGGTACCAACCTGAGACACGTTTACAACGACCACGTGAACACCGACATGTCGTACGACGCGTTTCGCGCGCTGTGTCGCGAGTGTTGGCGACACAGGTACGGATTCGTAGTGATAGACAAGGACAGTGCGATCGCAAACGGCAGATACAGAAGAGGATTTAACGAGTTCGCGATACCGTAACGCCGTCATTCGTCGTTCGTACCTCGACCGAGATGGCTAACGAGCGCGAAAAAATCGCGAGGGAGATCGAGCGGACGAGCGAGTCGATCCGCAGGAAGCACCGCGCTCTGAAGACCGGTAGAATCGACGAGGACCGTGCGCTGGACAGGCGTTTCGGGCCTATCGTCGAGCCGTTGCGACGGATCGCCGGTCCCGTCGTGCGCGCAACGAAGACAGAGTCGTATGCCGCTACTCCTAAACGCAAGAAGGAGGAGGAGGAGGAGGAGGAGGACTTCTTCGTGACTCCGCGCACGCGTTTCTTCGATCGAACGCCGATAACCTCCACACCGCATGCACCTACCCAACCGTCAGAGTCATTCGACGACGTTTCCGAAACGACGTACGCGACGCTCGCGATACCCGATCAGAATCATTCGTCGGAGAACCGAGAGAAATCACGAATTAATATGGGCCCGCTGAGTCTGAGGTACGTCGAGCCTGTCCTGCGAGGACTCAACGACAGCGGGATGGATCGCGTGTACGGCGCTTACTTGGACAAGGACGGATTGATGCTCGGCAGTAAGCGTTTCGACGTGGATAACGAGGATAACATAATTATCGACGGCGTGCGACACGCCGGTACACCCGGCCTCTACGAGCTGATCTTCAAGAGAATTCCCGACGATACGCTTCAAACGGAACAAGACATGCGCGAGTACAAGAGCCTGCTGCAGGCGACGAACGCGCACAGACACAAGCACCATCCGCTGGGCCGAGTACTGGCCAACAGGGGACACAAGTACAGGAATGTAATAAAGCCGTTGGTCACGCCTAAGAAAAAATCGGGAAAAGGAGTACCTCGCGCCATGACGTTGAACGACGGCGCGATCGAGTACGTGCACTGGGACGATCCCAACGAGCTGGTGGAACGTCTGCGGTTGCTCGACGCCTCGCATCGAGCGGGCAACGCCGCTCACGGCAACGAGATGCTCTCGATCATCGAGGAACTTCGCGAAGCGGGCGTTATTATAAATTGAGTAGCGTTTCGACGAAACGACTCAGTCGACCGTCGAGTATCATTATGAGCGTCGAGAGGCGCAGACTCGTCGAGGAGTTGCACGCTCCGGCGAGAAGAAATTTTCCGCGAAGACGCGTCGTGGTACGGGGATACGACGATCTGTGGCAGGCCGACATCGTCGAGATGCGGCCGTACTCGAGCCAGAACAGGGGCCGTCACTACGTGCTCACCGTCATCGACGTGCTGAGCAAGTACGCGTGGGCCGCGCCGCTCGGGAGCAAGGGCGGTAGCGAGACGGCCGACGCTATCGCGAAGATAATTCGCGAGAGCGGGAGATGCCCCAAGAACCTGCAAACGGATATGGGGAAGGAGTTTTACAATTCTCATGTGGAGAAACTCTTGAAGAAGCATGACATCAATCACTACTCCACGTATTCCGTAATGAAGGCGTCGGTGGTCGAGCGGTTCAATCGTACGTTGAAGAACGACATGTGGAAGATGTTTACGCTCAACGGCACGTACAAGTGGGTCGACGCGCTGCCGCGTCTCGTGTCGGATTACAACGCGCGCAAGCATCGCACCATCGGCATGCGGCCCGCCGACGTGACCCCCGCTGTCGCCGAGAGACTCCTGGACACGGTGTACGGCGCGATAAAGATCGCCGGTCCCGCGAGGTTCAAAGTGGGCGACGCGGTACGCGTGAGCAAGTACAAGACGATCTTCGAGAAGGGCTACACGCCGAATTGGACCACGGAGGTGTTTCGAATCGTCAGAGTGCAGAGGACCAATCCCGTGACGTATCTCCTGAAGGATTATCGCGGCGAACCGGTCGCCGGAGGATTCTACGAGCACGAGTTGCGTCGCGTCGCTGATCCCGACGTGTATCTCGTGGAGAAAGTACTGCGTAAGAAAGGAGACAAGGTGTACGTCAAGTGGCTGGGATTCGACGGATCGCACAATTCGTGGATAAATAAACGAGACGTCGTGTGAATAATAATAATTTTTTTATTCGTATATAAAATATATATATATATATCAATATATGTATATTTCAA